ACTTCTAGCGAAAAAAAATAGCGGCTGTAGCAAATCATTATATCAGTGATTTTGTCAAATTATCTTAACTAAAAATAGTAGAAATTCTCATTACTGATCATTACCAAACGTATCCCATGACAATTTAATGCTCACTGCGTGTTTATGATCATTTCTTCGATTATATTTTAAATGTTATTGCAATACCTTTCGTGAACCTTTCATAGCATCGTAATGTTTGTTTACTTTGCACGATAGGTAGCCGGTTTGACAGTTCATTAGGTAGGCTTGGCTTCACTCTTGGCGTGACTCATTATACACCGACTCAGAGGAATTTTCGAACATTATAATTTATTTTCGAAGTGTCAAATTTAAGTGAAAATTTTCCAAATGGCTAAAGATACTGTTCTTGTATAGAGATTACTGAAGTGTGATTGTGTCAGTTTTCATCAGGAAAATTTTCGGTTATGAAGTTTTTTTTTCCCGATGAAAACATTTTACGTGACGTAGTGTGTGTACGATAAACGTCACTAATCTCTATCCAGCTTTCCATGCTCGGTAATGGCGGCCTGTTTGTACTTTTTGACACTAACTGTGGGGCGTATGTTGTTCCATTTCTTCTGTTCCTGGGAGAGGGAAACCCTAATAAAATTTTTATGGTTATTTTGCTTAACGACGTGTTCCGGGTATCATCCAAACCATTTATGAAATAGTTCAATTATTTGGGTTATCGTTCGTTTATGGTTATTTTTTATTAGGGGAGGGAGGGATTAAAATCCGAACCTCCAGATAGTACAGTGAAGGATACATCTATTCATACAAACAGACCGCCATTACCGAGCATGGAAAGCTGGATAGGTGTTGTAGGAGCTAGAACTTCTACGAGCTTCTCGTAGGCCATACAGGTGAGTTCAGTTCCGTAAAAGAGCCTACTGTCACTGACGGCACGAGCTACCCTAAAGCAGATATCCCGTTTGTTGGAGCGATGAGGACGAAAGATGGTCCTGATGAAGGTTACCTCTGCTTCGACATTCCTTCTTCACTTGCTGAAAGTGTGGCACAAAGGGTAGTGTGCGGTCAATCACACGGACAGTTTTCTTGGTCGGTACTGTTTGACCGTGAACCGTGATCGGAGTTCCGCTGACTCAGTGGAGAGACGAACAGACGTGGCATCTGACGGATTTTCCAGCTGTGATTCAAACTACCCTGCTATCGGAGCGTGGTTATTTCTGACAGACAAGTAGTTAAATTTTGACAACCGTGGCTGAGCTCTGCTCGAAAACCGATCGATCGGTAACACAGAGATTTTCGAACATAAGAAATAACTTTCGAAATGTCACTTTTTAAATTTAACTCGGCAAATGGTTCACAGCCTTAGAAATACCTAATTTTACACGTGACGGAATCCATCTTTGACAGAAGGACGTAAACAAACATGTCATGTGAAATTAAGTGCGTCGAGACTGAAAAGCAGAGTTGCGACCTATCACAATCACGATCGTCAAACAGCTGATGGTAGTAACGCTTTGTACATACCTATCAATGTGCACGTCGAAGCTCTCTCCATGACCATCCATCAAGTTGACGAAAGAAGTAAAAAGCAACTGGTGAATGTCGTCTTCGGTTGTGATCCATCACCGATCTGGTCATTCCCGACCATCACGACACTCATCTGTGCTCGTCTTGAAGCAGTTGCTGCTTTGCTTGCTTATGTGAGTGTGTTGGTGAGTGAAGGCCGGTGCACAATGGATACGTTTTCAGGTTTTTTTTTGACAGTTAGCCCATGCATTATCTGTCAAAAAACCCGAAAACGTATGCATTGTGCGCCGGCCTTGAGCCCAACAGCTTCCGTTTAATGTTGCCTGCTTTGTTTGTAACTCACACAGTCACGCGAGCCGAGACAAACTTGGAATGCGAGACATTCTTCTGTCATTTCGCTTTTTCTAATTATCGTACTGCAGAAGTCTTCACTGTTTTCGTTGTGCTTTTAATCATCAGCAGTGAGTGTAATGTTTTGCTTGTGAGCAGCGACCATTACTGGTGATTGTTGTTTGTCATTCCTCTACCACTCAGTGCGTGACAAAACGTTCTGTCGGCGATAGTCGGTTGATGCGTAGACGAGTGTCACGTGAGTGTCATGATATTTTGCATCACTGCTGAAAAGTTAGTTTCTCGACGAAAAGTACGTTTGATTGAGCTAAATTTCACGTTTATTATGACTCAATTTGATGTCAAAATTGACGCTCGTATATGTCGGTCTCTGAGCACCTAAATTTACATGATTTTATATAAGTATGTAACCTGAAACCAACCGAGTTGGCCCATTTAACGACGGCGAATGTCACCGCCTGAAGCTTGGTTCGAACTACGACGAAGCTTGGTTCGAACTACGGCGAAGCTTGGTTCGAACTACGGTTGGTCCCATAGCTACTATCGTCAGCGTAGACGAAGATGCGGATGTTCCCAGGTAAGTGGTTGAAGACACCGTTCATCGCGAAAGCTCCTGGACTGGGTGTTTCCCACCGAAACTCGGAACGATCGATTGGTCAGAAAGTTTCTTCTTATCATCTTGATCATAACGGCGGGTGTTGAAAGCTTTGGAGATGCCCAGCGAGACGATTTCCACGTGATGTCCCTGGTCGTGTCGTCCCGGAAGGACGTTCCCCAGTGTGGCGAAGTATGTGGATGTGCCAAAACCTTGTCTGAAGGCGTGTTGCCGGTGATCCAGCAGGCCATTTGAGTTCAAGAAGAACTTGAGTCTGCGGTTGACCATTCGTTCGAGCACTTTGGCCTAGCACGCGGTAAGTCATGTATTTTCCCGTTTCGCACAAGGCTTTCCTTCCACAGCGATGGGTATGTGTCTGTGACCCAGAGGCCAAGCATACGTTGCTCAAATTCTGTTGGAAGATTTTTGAGGAGGGGATAACCAATTTCATCGGGACCCGCCAATTTGCCGCTGCTCTTGCTCCAATAATGTTGGCTGAGAGATGGCTGAGATTTCGGCGAAATACTCGTTGGCAACGTCTGCCGGTTTGGAGATGATGGTTCCATCCGTTTGGATGTGGAGCGGTGCTTTCCGCTGAGCGCGTTGACTCTGTTCCAGAGATCGGCTGAGGATTGAGAGGCGTTAATGCTTTCCAAGAAGCTAGACCAACTATCTTGCTTGGCGTTGCGTATATCTTGCCTACATTTGTTGTGCAGCGCCCGGTTACGAGTGAGGGCTTCTTCCCTGCCTGTATCGTCCTCCGGAGTTCGTCACAGCTTGCGAAGGGCTTTCGTCCAGGGACACTGTTGGTTTTCGGTATCGTGGCGGTAGCTGCGTTGAATATAACCTTTGTGAAATCCGAGATGTTCTCTGGGTTGCGAGCCCGGTCCGGTAGGATTCCCGGAAGCCTTCCCAATCAGCTTCATCATACCGCCAGCGTGACCTTTGAGTGATTCTGGGGCCGTAGCGGCGGAGAGCTGAACCTGAACCGGGTAGAGGGGCCTGCCGTAGAGGTCTGAGTTGGTGTACCAGGTCACTGGCATTGATAAAGCTGGAACGAGATAAGCGCTAGAGGTTTCCCCTTTGGAGGGGGGACTAGGGCATCCTGATGCGCTGATGTCGAACACGTTCGAGGCTTGGAGCTGACTTCGATCGCTGCGTGCCGAATGAGGCGGAGCCCTACCAGTGGCAGGTGGAAATGTTCCACCCACCCAGGGCAGGGATGTTCCAACGGTGGAGAAAATAGACCGTTGTACCTTAGGAGCTTGGGATTGGCGGATAGGGCGATTGAGAGGATCAAGTTTGCTGCTGGGTCGATTTGAAGATAGCGGCGTTGTAGGCAGAATAGCTGCCGTAGCGAGCGTTGGTGGTATGGGCATGGGATGTCTTGAATGCGACTGGTTTTCGGGGTCGAGCTGTGGTCTGGATCCCGGCGAAATCAAGACGTCAATGCACGCTCTCCGGGAGAATTCGCGAAGGTATTGGCGGAGCTGTAGGCAAGGTTGTGTTAAGACCAAATTAATTACTTTTATTTTCTTCTGGGACCTTGCAATTGTTTCTAAATCCAGGATCTGCAATTCAAGCCAACATTGGAGTTCTTTAAAATTTCTCTTGTTGCGTGAAATCCGAGATCTTGGAAAATAAACCATTATACCAACAATTTTTAGAATGGTTCTCGTAAAAATCTTGAACCTTTTCTATGAGTTCTAGAATCTTAAAAATGTTTAGTCTGGAATAATCTTCTATTCTTGAGATCTTTATAATTTCCTGTTCTAACGATACCATGATTTCTTAAATGTCAAGGATTGTTCAAAACTAAATAGCTCGGGTCTTAAATTTTTCCTAATCATGAAAATCACGAATCTTCCAGAATTCCAGAAAAACGAATGGTTATTTTTTAAGGAGCAAGATTTCGAAAATTAAGTTCAATTTAAAATTAAATAAATAAAAAAAATATCCAGTCTAGTTATTTTTATCAAGCCGGGAAAACTATCATTGACAACCGCTTAAGCATAGAGGTAACTCTAAGACCAGAAGGTCCCGAAGAAACGTGGTCAACTTTTTGGCTCAGCTCTGGTACTATCTTCGGTCCCAAGCTAATCGATGCACCCCTCGAAACATAGGAAAATCCACGAACCCCTTATTTTATCTGTCATACTTTCATAGCGAATCAAAACAAACATTGTGTAGTACTAGAATTTTGACTAGAATGGGGTACGTTAATCAAGTAGTGAGCCAATTTTAAATCGTTAGTTTCCACCGGTTGGCTTAAGTAAACTCTTGGAATAATGATTAAAAATCAGAATCTTAGGCAGAACTCCAGAATTTCCTCCCAGAGTTAATCTAATATTTATTTTTGATCAATTCTGAAAAGAATTCTTTGAAAGAGAAATCAATTCTTGAGAACATTCCAATAAGATCCTGATAGGAGTTCTGAGCGAATTCTCGACGTAGTTTGATTATTGTGTTAGTCAAATGGTAATGATATATGAAATAAAGTTTCTTTGGTGTGTGTTTTTTGGAAAATGACACTTACTCATCAGTAGCTTCTTCCCCACGATGTTGATGACGATTCCATTCAGAATGTAGCACGCCAAAAACAGGATCCCCATCATCGTGGTTATCATGAATATGGCAGGGTCGATGCGTACCGGACAGCTGACCGGTGTATGATCGGATCTGTACCCAAATAATAAATTCCCAATTTCAATGCTCGATAGATAGTTTCATCCAAACCATACTCACAACATATGCGTCCGGTTGTTGCGAATAATATCCACCACCTGACAGATGGTGATTTTGGTATCCTTAAAGTTCACGTACGTGTTGAGGATGTCCGGTATCCACATGAACACCCCGGACGAGGCCAGAAACAGTCCGAACATGAGAAACGACGCCCGTACAGTGTTGCCAACCAGTGGCGGTCGGAACAGGGGGACCGTCTGTTCCCAAATGTAGCGCAGTCCTTGGTTGATCTTTCGCTTTCGCTGCTCTGCGAAAGCACTGTCGATCGCGTCCAGGGCGATCGATTTGACGGGGAATTTCTTGGGAAATACAAATAGTTGATTAATCTACCGGTTAGCAGTATGAAAGATCGGAGCTCACATAATCCGGTTCCCCTCGGTTCCATCGGTACATTTGGGTGAGAACCTGTAGCACTTCGTCGTGCTTACCGGTGGTGAGCAGGAACTTGCCACTCTCCGGCAGCCATAGAATTCCACCGATAATGATGATACTGAAGAGCGAACTCAGTAGAAGGTAGTACCGCCACATCCCGTAGCGCATTCCGAGAGAGTCACTGTACAGCTCGAACTGAGCATCCAGAGGGATAATGAAGTAGGCTACGAACGGCAGGTAGATCATGCCAAAGGCCATGAACATCGCCGCCCAGGAGATGACCTTGGCCCGAGATTTGTCGGTGTGGAACTCTGCCAGGTAGGCGTACGTGGTGGCTGCATTTCCGGAGATGCTGAAATGCACGAGAAACTATGCATGACTACATATATGTCAGCACCCCCCTCCCCTAAATTATATACTTACAAGAGCCCCACGCAGAACCGAGTGACGATGAGCATCCACACGTTAACCGAAAAGCTGGACAGAACCGAGAACGCCAAACTGGCGGTGGACGCCAGGAGGATGACCTTCCGACGGCCCCAGGTATCTGAGAGGAATCCCCAGAGGTGGGAACTGATGACCACCCCGCAGAATGCCGCTCCATTGAGCATTCCCTTGTCGGAGAAGGTCAACTGTAGGTCGCACTCGGCGGCCGATATGACGAGGCCCATGTTAAGCGTTTCGTTGATCACGCTCATCAGGCAGAAGCCACAGATGAAGAGCAGGAAGGTGTGAAACTTGCCCTTCCCTATCAGTTCCAGGGCGTCATTGTAGGTGTAAACTTGGGCCTTGCCGTCGTAGCTGCCGTACTGTCGGAGTTGGATGTGGTGGATTTCAATCGAATGGGTTCCGGAGTGGGCATCTTCTGCGGAGGATGGGGGAATAAGAAATGGGGGATTAGTTGAAGTACATATCTTTGAGGGCTGACGGCTACTGGAACATGATTGATGATTCGGTTACTTAGTATACAGGTTTAATCCTGTAACGTGTGATGTAAAGTGATGCATTTCTGATAGGCCACCCTCTAGTTCGTATCATGCTAATAACATATGAACATGTTCAAAAAATGGTAAATATTGGTGGAGGTTAGAGGTGCGCAAGTGATCAGAAATTTGTATGAGAATTACAAAATCATTACATTTAAAAATCACTTAAGGGCCACCCACATTAGATCCGTTTGCGTTGCGTTGACGTAAATTTGACAGTTAGACAATAGATTTAGCTGTCACTTTGCCGCAACGCGTCCGATCCGGATCTAATGTGCGTGGGCCTTTATATCGCTTTAACTTTGCTCCTACATGTCCAAATGTTGAATAATTTTAATATGTAGTTGCTATGGCAAATACCAAAAAGTCTGTTGTTGTTACACAGAAACAAAATCCATTGGCAAAATTACTATATTGATGGTTTAAATTAAATACCCCCACCAATAGATTTGTGCAGAAACGAAATTCATTTAATTTTACTATTTTTCTATCAAAACTACTATGCCGTTTGAGTAAGCATAGTAGTTTTGACAGAATGGTATTAACTTTGTTTATATTTATAGTCAACTATACTGCAATCATGGTAGATTTAACGGCATTAAGCGTAGTTGTACTGAAAATAAGTGTTTTCTGCAAAATAGTATTTCTAACTATGGTCTTTGTTTCAGTGTACGATCAGTTTTACAGCATATCATATCATATCATATCAAATATAGGGTAAACTGACTGGTCAATATGTGCAAGAAAAAATTGACAATTTCATCACAACAACAACAGGTGTGTTGATCATTGTCATGACAAAACCAAAGTTAGAGCAAATCTACAATTTCCCATAATAATTCACCGAAATCTCCATACAAACTTCATATAACTTGCGCGACCTCTTGTAACCGACTTGTAAGTATTGACAATATTTCTTACCGTGTGGGGTTCGCTTAAAACCTGCATCAATCGTTACCATTTTTGGCACAGGCTCATATTTTGGGGTTATGAATCAAACTGGAGGGTGGCCTATCAGAAATTCATGACTTTTATCAAAATAAAGCACCCTATTGGACATGTCCAATGCTAGGGGGGAGGTGACTGTCAAATACGAACAATAGTCGCGTAGCTCGCATAACTGGTTCCAAACGACAACAAGCAACGATGGTTTGTTGATGTTTGGAGCCAAATTCACATATCCGGAGTGATTTGAGATTTGGGCGTAATTGCTTTTGGTAAACAAACACTTCAATGGATCATTGAAGATGCTGAAGTTTTGACAGCACCGTACTGTGGCTACCACAGTATTTTACATTGGATCGTCCGTATACAGTAGCGCCAAATGCAAGCTGTGGTGGGTTCAAAACTCAGCCATCTAAAATGATCCATTACCGATTTCTCGCGAATAAAACTCAGCCTAGAAAACTAACAATACAATCATGTAGAGAAATGATTCCTCTGTCATTTCGAATAGTTTGTCCGCGAGATTGAGCTTTTATTCGCAAGAAATCAGCGATTGACGTGTTTGTTTACAAAAGCAATTACGCCCAAATCTTGAAGTTCTTCGGATATGGAAAATCTATGAGTGTAAGCAGGTGAGGCCCAATGAATTTTTCGTCTCTTTCGTTCTCCGTCTGTTGAAATGGGTGACAGAGTTTGACGTCACACTCTTTCACCCATTTAAACAGCGGAAGTACCCTGGGGAGAACGAAAAAGACGACAAATTCAGTTGGCGGCCTTATCTATTTACATGTCATTGATGGATGATCAGTAGGCCAATTTGATTATACATCCCGCCCCTGGTCCAATGAAGTGAGCAGTTTGTCGTGTTCGATATCAATTTGGCTTTAGGCCAAGTCTTTCTGTTAAATTCCTCCTACACTTAACGAAAACATCCGCAATACTTCGACTGATTATTGTATTGCTCGAGTCCTTTAAAAATATGCTATCGAATTTCGGATGATTTCCTTATGATTGAATTCGTCATCAAATGACTGTCCTCCAAATAAAGGATGATATTTATTTGAAAATTGGCTGTAAACATACAGAGCTTAGAGGACAACAATTTAAGGATAGGATGACTTGCAAATGTTTTAAATTAGACTAATAATTCGATTGTTTACATTTTCATACTGAATAGCCATGAACAGCCATTCATCATGGATACAAAAAATTCTTGTTTGTTGGTAGAGGAAACTTCCTTCACCACGAAATAGGCAATTTAGTTAGTTAGTTTAAATGATCTTTATTTCAGTTTAATTTGGATGATTACATATACATTTTACTAAGTGATTTTATTGCTTTCTTCTTTAGGTATGGGCAAAATTCAAAATTGGTTTTACAGAATTAGTCCTAGACTTAGTACACGGTCGACCACCTTGGTGGGATTGGTTTGTTTTGTTTTTAGAATTTGAAGAGAAACTACTTAATACTACTATTTACAGCTTAAAACTAACCTACTCTACTATATACACTTAACCTACTATGTACAAATTGCTTATTAAAGCATGTTCAGAAAGATTGCATTTTTGGATAAATTTGGTTGTCATATCCTCAATTTTGGAATCTACTTTATGAATTTCTGCCTCTTGATGGAGGTCTGCTATTCTTGTGTCGAATGGACGATCTAGGATCATCCTCAACACTCTATTCTGTGCAACCTGGATTTTGTTCCTGTGGGTCTGAGCGCACGATTCCCACACCGGGGCGACATAGAAGATCGCGGGGGCTATGATCTGTGTGTAGACAGCCAGTTTGTTTTGCCTTGAGAGGCGGGATCTGCGGCAAATGAGCGGATACAAACACCTAACCAAGGCGGAGCACTTAACTAGGGTTTTCTCTATGTGCGAGCGGAACAGGAGCTTCTCATCGAACAACATCCCGAGATAAGTAACATCAGCGGACCACTCGACCCTTGTACCATCCATTATTACGGTACAGGAGGGAGACGGTTTAAGTTTTGGCGATTGTCTGTGAAAGAACATGATCGTTTGGGTTTTCGAGGCGTTGATTTTGATTTTCCACGTGGTGGCATAATCAGTAAAGGCACAGACAAACAGACGTAACACTTTGAAAAAGTTTTTCTTGAAAACATAGTATCTCAAAACATAGATCCTCAGTAACGACATCTCTCTGGCTTCTCGCGGAAAACAAGCTTGCTCGCTAACTCGCAAACAATATTGCATAAAAGTTCTATAGAATGTATAGAAACGTCAAAGTGATCCGACACCAGCGCTGAGGCGAGTAGTTCGCGGAACTGATAATATTAAAATCAACCGTTAAATGCGTGAACGAAGATACACAATGAAGTGTTACGTCTGTTTGTCTGTGGTAAAGGTGTCAAGGCATCGTTGGAGCTTGTTCGTAATTTCACGAGGCATCCTACCCTTGACGACTATCGCGGTGTCATCTGCGAACAGGAAGAACACGCAACCGTCTCCTAGAGGAGGGATGTCCGACGTGTAGATGCTGTAAAGCAGTGGTCCCAGCAGACTCCCTTGCGGAACACCTGCTGGGATCGGAAATTGTCCCGAAAGGGAACTATTCAACGACACCCTGAACGACCTTTGCTGGAGGTAGTTACGGGTGATTTTCACAAGGTATGGTGGAAAGTTGGAGTTACAAAGCTTGTATATAAGTCCGTCGTGCCAGACATTGTCAAACGCCTTTTCGACGTCTAACAAGGCCATGGCTGTGGACTTGGATACAGCTTTGTTACTTCGGATGTTATTCATCACCCGCACTAGCTGATGATTGGTGGAATGCCCCTTACGGAACCCGAACTGTTCCGGAAGAAGAATGTCATGTTCCTCCACAAACTTGTTCAGTCGGCTGAGGATCAATTTTTCGAACAGCTTGCTCAGCGCTGAGAGCAGGCTAATCGGTCTGTAGCTTGACGGTAGTGAAGGGTCTTTCCCAGGATTGCGGATCGGGATGATGTTTGCCACCTTCCAGATGCTTGGAAAGTAGTGCAGCTCCAAGCATCTGTTGAGGATGGCAGCCAGCAGCGAGTGCACCCTCGCGCTGAGATTTTTCAACTCTAGGTTGAATATTCCGTCAAACCCGGGAGCCTTCATGTTCGTACTGTGTTTCAGCGCTGAGCAAATTTGTTCCTCTGTAATCCGTTCTTCTGGAGGGACGGCACAAGGGGAGGTATCTAACGTCTGGACGCACTGGGCAACCTGGTTCTCGAGTGGACTTGGGATTGTAGAGCCAAGCAAATGCGACTGGGCAATGTGCTCCCCAATCGCATTGGCCTTCTCTTCGTTGGTGATAAGCCGTCCGTCATTGACTCTAAGTGGTGGAATGGGCTTGGGGTGAGACTTCAGCACCTTGGCAACCTTCCAGAATGGTCTTGAACGGTCATCCAGGTTCTGAACGAGCCACCCGAAACCCTTGTTCCGGATTGAGACCATTCTGGAAGCGATCTGCCGATTCAGATCGACTATTTCGTATTTACGCTGCAGATCCCCAGTCCGCTGAAACTGGCGTCTACGAACATTTCTGAGCCGAATCAAGAGTTTGGTGTGGGAATCAATTGCTTGAAACTTACCCCTCACAGGAACTCGTCGAACGCACTCTTCATCAGCCACGGATATGGCTTGATGGAGACCCTCCAGGGCCCAGTCGATGTTCTCCACTGTGTCGAGCGGTGGGTTGTCGTCGATGTGGCGGTCGGCCACGCGCCGAAACTTGACGCAGTTGACTCGATGGTAGTCCTTCCGCAGGCACGGTGCAGGGGCCACGTTGCAGCCCAGCTCGGTCAGCACCGGTTGGTGGTCCGAACTCAGGTCGTTGACGGCAACCGGCTTGGCTAATCCGGTGTTTGCCGCCGGTGATGTGAAGGTTGGTTCGTCCGAAAACCAGACGGAATAGAGACCATGCTGGGAATGGTCGA